GCATCTAGCAAGCTGAACTCGAAACCTGCCCCTGGCTTGTTTCCAGCAGCATGAAGTAGAACATGCTCTCCGGATGTTTGCAGGGCCCAAGTAAGCATCCGTGACATCAACAGCTGAATCAACGATTGGCCTTTGACACTCCAGATGTACAGAAGCACTGCCACCAAAACACTCCACTGCAATGACAGCATAATCATCCACATCAGTGCGTCTGTGCCAAAACGACCCAACCATGTGGCGACAGCCCGAAGGGTGGGCCAAAGCCTGCAGGTGCCTAGTCAGTTGCCTGGCGCTGGCTTGAAGGGAAGCTCCGTCTGACGAAGGTTCTTGCCTGTGGTCGAAGCACTGGCCTGGTTAGACTTCTCAGCAAGCTGCTTTGCCAAACTCGCAACTTGCTCCTGCAACTGCTTGATAGCCTCATCTTTTTGATCCGTACTGTCTGTTGTGCCGCTTGTGGTCACCACCTTAGCATCACCACCTCTCTCCTGTGAGGTCTTCATGAAATCCATCATCAACTGCATGGTCTGGGACTGCTGCTCAAGGGCCATCTGCAGCGCCGCGTTGTTGGCGTCTGTGGCTTCCGAGCTGGTAGCTGGCAGAGAAGGCTTGGCCTCAGTCGTCTCCTTGTTGGTACCACCGAAGAAGCCCACAATCGCACGAGTAAGCGTACTGCCGGCCCTGGCAGGGGGGGAGCTGTGCTGCTGCAGTTGCTGCTGATCCACGCCATTGGTCAACCTGGAGGTTAGCATCGCGAAGCCTTCTGAGATTGCACTCTCCAGTGTAGAACTAAGCGCAGTTTGGAAGGAACGAGAAACTGCCTGCTCTAGTCCTCCTCCCCGGCCGTTGCTGTAAGGGCTGAAGCGCTGTGAGTTGCCCTGATGCTTCCCGTGGCCCTTGCCAGCACCTTTGCCGCCGTGCCCATACCACTGTCCCCGAGACGAGTGGTACGAGCTTGAGTAAGGCTGGTCATGGCGACGCGAGTGCCAGTCAGGCATGTCTACAGGAAACCTGCTACCAACCCTAACGGCAACCAAAGAAAACCACACTAGGGCCAACAAACGGTTGCAGTCATAGCGATGGCAAGAGCATTTGCAGCAACTAACCCAAAGCTACAGTAACCAACTAGACCTAATGCAGGTCGGCAAGCCACTATTCGACCAATCATCCAGGGTACGCAAAGCAATGCGAGATGCATATGGAAAATGGGGTAGGCCGCCCCAGATTTTGCGAAGGTGGTGAGCTGGATAGCCACTAAGAGCCCAGACCCCTAGCTCTGCCCGAATAGAGGCTTCTAAGCTCTCCTGTTCCAATTGCAAAGACTTCCACCTGACAAGTTTCCCTGCTGCAACACCCCGTAGTTCAGACAAATCCATGTGATGTTCACCTAGCCACGGAACAACCCTGAATTTTTTAGGAGCACCTGCACCAGCAGCTTCCCTCCAAGTCTGCTCCAAGCCAGCGGCCGTGACTGTAAGTGACCCCTCTACACTATCCAGCCAAACATCTAACCAGGGAAGTCCTAGCTTCTCGCGTGCGGCGGGTTCAAACGAAATAGGTTGTGCATATATAAGCTTGGTAAGCCTATGCAAGCAGGAACTGCACAGAACCCGCGAGGCCATAGCAAGATCATCAACATACCTGGTGTTGGCAATGGCATCGGAGATTGCGTTAGCAACCGAAGGCAGAAACCCAGAAGCTCTAAGAACCAACAGGTTATTACAAGCCTTGAACTCTTCAAAGGCAAGAACCGCGGAAGCGATTGCTTTGGAAAGCTGACCCCCGATGGGTGCGCCGATCTCTTGGCGGAAGAGCGCCTTTCCTAACCGAATGACCCGCTGCTGCAGAGTGACATCAAGCACGCATAGTATGTCTGACCAAGTCCAAACCACAGA